CAAGTGTGGAGAACGAATGTTCTGTCTTGGGTAAGGAATGATGCTGCTTCTTGGAGCTGAATTGGAAGGGGAAGATTGACTGTGGGAGGCAGTGAGGAAACCGAGGAAGGGCCTTGGGCTGGGAAGACAATGTATAAATCTTTTTTTTTTTTGGTTTTCTTTTATTTTGAGACTCCTGTATTCATCTTAAGATCATATATTTTATGAAAGAATTCCATATGGAAGAAAGTAAAAAGTAGAAGGTTATCAAATTTCATGATGTGTAGTATTTCATGAACTTTTAATTCATAAAACGTTTTCTCATGAAATCAGACATCTTGCTTTCTCCAAGCGCAGATCAGCGTCTGACTCTGAATCTGTTCCTGTTTCACAGCTCAGCAGAACAGTGAGTACATAGTTACTTAAGGTGGATCACTGAGATGCAAGATTATTATTCACGTTGTTGGTGGGAATGACGTGAAGAGATCAGTTTCCTGTGTTTTAGAAGAATGTGAACAACGGAACTACTCATCCATTTGCCTACCAGCCATTGGCACAGGTCCGTAGCCACAGGCTGTCAAGGCTCCATCCCAAAGTGTCCACTTCCCCATGGATTTGGTGTTCACTGGGTCTGGGTGATGACAGGTACACCTTCCCTGGGAGTAGATAGTTTCCTCACTCCAAGGCACCCCATCCACTAGGGAATGAGCAAAGCCTGTGGGATCTTTAAGGAGGAGGAAAATGAGCAGGGTACATTTATGTGCACCTCTGGCCCCAATGATGGGAAGGACAGAGGCAGGAGGAGTGAACTTCGTCCCCACAATTATTGTCTTCAAGGTTACTCAAAGGCATCTGCTATAATTTCCTGCCCCATTGGTGGATGCCATTAACAGGGATAATCCAGATGGACTTTCAGTTGATCAAACCAGCTTTCCCAGGAGACTTTTACATTGCCTGTTGTAACATGAACGGGCCTGGCTTGCTTGTTGGGGGTTTTGTCCCGCCCAGTTACCCCAGCTGTTTAGTCCCAAAGAAAATCACACATAGATCTCCATAAATTATAAGCTGATTGGCCCATTAGCTCTAGCCTCTTACTGGCTAACTCTCACATCTTGATTAACCCATTTTTCTGATCTATGTTAGCCATGTGGCTCAGTACCTTTTTTCAGTGGGGCAGATCACATTCTGCTGCTT